GGGACAGGAAGCTAGTCGCCTGTCAAGCAGAAAGCCGACCTTAGTTGATGCACACAACCGCACTAATTGTTGAAATAGTCACCGCTAAACTTAAGTCACAGCACTAGTCAAATGACACCTAACCTTTTTTCGGCACATATACACATTTTGTAACTACTTTTGAAATCTGTGAATTTATTCTTTTAAATCAGGAGTGTGCATGTTGACAGTTATTTTCTTACATTTTTCATGGTGAGTATATCGTTTTTTTTTTAAATATAGAATTTTTAAAAATAAACACAGTACCTACTTTTGTAGCCTATTTAAGTCCGTGTGTGTATTGCGGGTGGGGGAAGGGTGGGGGGGGGGGGGGGGGTTTGCTATGTCGCACTACTTGTTCTGCGTTCTAGTTTTAAATGTAGGCTTTTTTATGTCACATGGATGTGGTTCAAAGAGAGATGTCGGTTCATCACGTTATATAATCAATTTAAGTTCATTAATTATGTAAAACCTTAAGATGACACGTAATATAATCAATTTAAGTTAATCAATTATGTAAGACCTTAAGATGACACGTTATATAATCAATTTAAGTTCATCAATTATGTAAAACCTTAAGATGACACGTAATATAATCAATTTAAGTTCATTAATTATGTAAAACCTTAAGATGACACGTAATATGATCAATTTAAGTTTATTAATTATGTAAAACCTTAAGATGACACGTAATATGATCAATTTAAGTTCATCAATTATGTAAGACCTTAAGATGACACGTTATATAATCAATTTAAGTTCATCAATTATGTAAGACCTTAAGCTGACACGTTATATAATCAATTAAAGTTCATCTAATTTGATCTTTAGTTGATACGTTATATAATCACTGAAGATCATCAGGTGAGCAAAAAGACAAAAGACAAACCCCTATTCGCAGACATCAATTGACAAAGGCTTGTGTTTAATCAATCAAATAATGGAATTGATTATATAGTTGGTGGCTTGTGGGGTCGTATTGATTCTTTGCTAAATAAAACAATGCCACAACATAATCGATTAGGTTTGTAGTTTAAAGTAACTGGCGTTGTTGCTACTAGTCATGTTGAACAGAATACAGCTAAAGATCTTTAACCAATGTTTTCGCCTTTTTTTTTGCTTGGCTATAAGCTATTCTATTTAAATTCTGTATAGTGTTTACCAAAAAAAGATCATTGCATATTTTAGCTACACGATGCATATATCTACAAAATCTCACACAGCTAGACATGATTTACACCACTACACGCAAGTAACCACTACATACATCATTACATACCATACTAAGTTCACCACAAAGATTCGTCAGTACAAAAATCATCTATTCATAATAGTGAATTTACTTCTTAAAGGTATTCACTACATTACAGAGCAGTGGTTCCCAAACTTTTTCGATTGGCGACCCCCTATTATAAAAAAAAAAAAATGACCCGCGAGCCCCATTGAATTTAAAAAGTCGAAATGAGTGAGGAAATTAATAAGCACTAAAATACGTTTTTTTTATTACTCTTTCAATATTAATTATTCTTGATAACTCGATGTGTGAAATTGAATGCCTATCACTAGCCTCAACATTCGCGGTTGAGTTTTTGTTAACGCCAACCTCATGTCATTTTCAGCATTTAATGTATTCCTTTGTTTTGTTTTTAATTGGAGAAGACACAAAAGGGGCCATAACTAGAATGGCAATCGATCTCACGTTTGGGTATGAAAGGTGCATACTACACCAAAATTGTTTGAGCAGTTTTTCATTTAACACGATATGTTACGCGGATTCATCAACTTGAAATCAAACAATGGTGAAAGTTTTATTTCATTCAAAATTAGTGTTTTAACATCTACGGACATGTTGCTGAATAGTATTATTAGACAGATATTTGTTGCATCTTTACTGCACTGTAATACCCAAGAATTAATTTCACCATCCTCAACATGAAGGGTTGATGAGATTTTCTCAGTATTGTGTGAGGTTTTTTTGCTTGGCGATTTTTTAATGCACCTTCATATGATACTTGCACTAACGCTTTGTTTTCTTGGTGAAAACCTCCTGTTCGATCAAGTCTCTGACGTTTGCAACTAGCTTCACGCCGACGAAAGAACTCCTTATCTTTTTTGGTGTGTTCCGAACGACTCGTCTCAAAATGACGTTTTAGTTTTGAAGGTTTCACAGACTCATGACTGAGAACAACTTTTCCCAGTACGCATTGTTTCTTTTCTATTCCATTTCCGGTGATGTTAGTGAAGGCGAATTTAAGAAATTCTTCAAAATATATATGCTTTTCTTTTCATTGGGGGTCGCGACCCCCAGTTTGGGTACCCATGTAATAGAACGATCCATGTTGCTTTTCTTTTTAGTTCTTTAAATAGTAGTTCATTATTGTATATTTAATTAAAGAAAATAATTTATTTTCTCCTTTTTAGTGCATTATTACATTAAAGCTCAGTATTAAAACGTTTTTAATGCATTTAAAAAAAGTTTTTCAGTTAAGAGCATAGAGAAAGTATTGTAATCGTGCGGAAAAATTAAATGAAACTTTAATAGTTTTCACCCTTTTTACAACCCCCACCCATCCCCAACGATATAAAAGATAAACTGTAATCGTGCAAAAATCTAAATCTAGAATTTGGCAGATTTTTGACGTTTAAAAACATTTCAGAAAAGCTTAATGTCATCCTGTCCATCTGAGTGTCTCTAAACACGATAACTTGAGAACTTTTTACATTATCTTTTACCAAATTTCAAATATTACATCAAATTTTTAGTTTTCCTTAAAAGTTTGAGCAATTTTGGATAACCGGAAGTGGTATGTACTCTACTTCCGGCCTCTTAAAAGCCAATCACCTAAGTACCATTTAAGTTAAGTCGAAGAAATGTCACTTATAAGTATTAGATTGTATGCGTAGGTTTCCATCAACTTATAACTATTTCCGGTAATCGGTATTAGTACTTTACTCTATTTCCGTGGAAATACATTAACTTGAGAACTGTTTCATGTACGTTTTCAGTTGATCTCCTTCTCCTTTTTTTTTTTGTTTACCCTTATATTTTCTATTCCTTTTTACTTTCTCGTATATACGAAGTATAGAGAAAGTCTTGTAATCGTGCAAAAAAAAAAAATTCGAGATTTTTACAAATCTCGACGTTTTACATCTCACTAATACGGAAAAACATAATTTTGAAATCTTGTCTGTGTGTCTGTCTGTGTGTGTGTGTGTGTAAACACGATAACTTGAGTACCGTTACAGCTAGGTTGATGAAATTTCATACATAAGTATTTTATCAAAATCGTAGATCCGTATCAACTTTTGAGCGATTTCCGATAACCGGAAGTGGTACTTTTTCTACTTTGAATTTTTCAAAAGCCTATAACTTGAGTACTATTTCAGATAGATAAATGAAATTTCACATGTAAGTAAAAAATCTAATTCTCTTCGTTCTGTCGAATTTTGAGTAATTTCCGTTGACGGGAAGTACTAATTTACGCTATTTCCGATTTCTCAAAAACGCATCTAAATTTATAAAGTACTAATAATATTGCGCACCATTATGAACATCTTTATTCGGCGTTCGATTGGTGTACAAGACTTTTTTCTATGAGATTCTATTTTATTTTAAAAAGTTTAAGTATTTAAAATGGATTAAAAATCATAACTATATCCCGAGTTCCCATCCCCTGTTGTTTTATATAAGAATATTCGAGAAAGTTTAGGGGAGATCACTCCCGGTTTATTTTTTTTTACTGTACCTCGGGCTTTAGAGCCAGTCGCACGTTAAAAAATTCATGTCTTCTCTGTCTGTTAGAATCATATTTCTATCTCGTCCTTTCATATTTTTTTTTTACTTTTACTAGTTGGAAGCTTTCAATCAATACACAAACGTATAATACTATCAAATGTTAAAAACTCTTTACAGCCAGGTTAGCCGGTTAATCTGAAGTTTGGCTTCGTGATTTCATGTAATTATTTACGTATATATTTCAAAGTGACAGTAATCAGTGAATTATAAAAATATTAAATATCTCAAGTTAAACAATGTCACTTCATCTAAACTCAAACAAATGTTATGCACTTTACCCCACCATCGTCAAAAATGTTTTGATGCCCATCCCCCTTTCCAGATTTTAAACTTCATTTTTTTTTCAAGATTACTTAAACACTTAAAAACTACATTTATTTACCTTTATTTATCAAATATAATTGGTAGCCTAGAAAATGATTTGTGAAAAAAACGCGTTTGTTTTTGAATGGCTACGATGAAATGACTGATTTTCAGTGATAGGGTGGGTTAGTTATTAAGGACTGTTGTTGTGACGCGATTGACCATTCACTGCCTCTCAGCAGAAATGTGTCGCCTGCTAGATTTCCCCCCATTCAAATACACGGCGGGCAAAATGGGCGGGCTTAGTTATCAAGTTATTTTTTCCCACGTTTTCTTTAACTTGCTTTCGCGTCTGTTTGTTTGTTTGTTAGTTTGTTTGTCTTTCCATCAAATCTTGCGATCGAAATTTCGGGCACTTCCCAGTTAGGTAGCGCGCTGAAATTTTCAGGGAAGCTTTGTTTCCAATGACAATACAATATTCAATTATTATTATTACTTAATTGATCCATGGAAAAATTGTATTGATAATTTTAGAGTCCTATTGATTTGTACAAAAAAGGGACAACCTAGTAATTGTAATTTGATAAAAACAAGGTTTGGTACTTTCCCTCTTCTGGCTTACTGAAAAACAAATGAAAAATCATGAAGGAGCGAGCATGCGATTGGCTGAGTAGTGGTCACGCGGTGTTTGTGTACAAACCTATGCAAATCTGACTGATCCGGAAGTAGAATGTTGATGGTCGAATGGTTTGCACGCGAGGGCAAAATGGTGAAAGAAACGGCAACATAGAAGAAACGTCGATTGGAAAAGGCACGCCAGAAGTATCAGGAGAAGCACAATGCAGGATACAGATTGGAAAATCCTCCTAAACGACCAAAAATTATGGAAGAAGGTGGGTATCAAAAGAAGCTTGAAAAAGATCGAAACCGAAAATCTGCTGCTTTAGCGAAGGAGACAGAAGAACAAAGTGTCTCTCGTAAAGCAAAAGATAGAGTGCGTCATGCTACTGCTCGTGCGATTGAGACAGAACAAGAAAGGGTCTCTCGTCTTGCTAAGCAGAAAGAACGAACTGATGCTGCACTTGCGATTGAGACAGAACAAGAAAGGATCTCTCGTCTTGCTAAGCAGAAAGAACGAACTGATGCTGCACTGGCGATTGAGACAGAACAAGAAAGGGTCTCTTGTCTTGATAAGCAGAAAGAACGAACTGATGCTGCACTTGCGATTGAGACAGAACAAGAAAGGGTCTCTTGTCTTGCTAAGCAGAAAGAACGAACTGATGCTGCACTTGCGATTGAGACAGAGCAAGAAAGGATCTCTCGTCTTGCTAAGCAGAAAGAATGAACTGCTGCTGCACTTGCGATTGAGACCGAAGAAGAAAGGGTCTCTCGCCAAGCAAAAGACAGAAAGCGTCATGCTACTGCTCGTCAAGACAAAGAAAGGCATGAAGCAGAATTGCAACGTCGACGCACTGCTTACGCCCAACGTTCGGCAGCAATGAAAACATTTTTCGACACCATAAACACTTTTTGCAATATAACTTGTGATATTTGTCATAAGCAGTGCTATTCTAATCAGGTGACAAAATATCACATGCTTGCTTCTAAGGGATACCTTCCCCCTGAGCTTGCGCAAAAGACTGTGCTAGAAGTTTGTCACCGATGTAACTCGCACTTGCGCAACAATAAGAACGAGCCGACCCGCGGCATATCATACTCCGCTATTTAGTTGTTGTTTTTTCTACTTTTCAGTTATTCATAATTTGTGAATTCGACACTACCAACGCTGCCACTGAAAATATTTCTTTAAAACACTGTAAGTAGCTCGCTAAGGACGATAACCCCCCCCCCCCCTCCGTTAAAGTAAACTCCACTTAGTTACCCCCCCCCCTACGTTTAAAATCGTTTCGAACTAAATTATCTGCCCTAATAGTCGTCACTAAACCCGGATCTGTTTGTAAACATTTAGAGTGAACCACAGCTCACCAGACCATGTAGGGGTGGGGGTGGTAGGGAGCGCGTTTACAGCTTGTTTTCTAGCGTCTCCCAGAAGAGAATTATATATATAGATAATAAGCGTGTCATGCCTGGTATAAGTCAATTTTATCTTTGTGTTCGTCCTTTGTGAGTGTTTGTCTTCGTTTACCAAAAAAAAAAGTGAATGCGAGAAGATAAAATCGATAGCAAGATTTGAATGCAAACAGACAAAGACTAAAAAGTAGAAAATAATTATCATTAATTTTTTTTTTAAAAACCCGTGTTTTCTGATTGAACTAAAAAGTAGAAAATAAATGCTATATATCACAATAATGCAAGCGACCACTCATTCACTTTAAAAAAAAACTTTGAACATGTTTCCATAGCTAGGATCAGAACCCGAATACATCTGGCAGCGACTCTATAAGATTGTCCATGTGAGCTCTAATCATCAAAAAGATGAACGGTAAATCAAGCAACGCCAAATATGTCAGCGCCGAGGACGGTGGAACAACGGTTATCTTTGCTGGGTAAGTCTCCTGAGGAGCTAAGGAAGGCGTGACTCAGGCAACAGCAGAACATGACCCCCGGATTTTAGGGGGCGCACACATTTTTTCTCATCATTCATTTTTATTTCAAGCTTTTATTTAGTTCGCAAACTTTGTTTTTGTTTGTTAGTTTGTGGCAAATCTTGCAAATCTATTTTGACCCACTTCTAATGCAGCGATTTCGTTCAAACTTTCTAGATACGTTCCACTTCGATGACAATATAAGTCTATCTATTTTTTATTTAATTAGATGCTTAAGTAGTCATTAAAATTAATTGAACAGTTTCGAAACTAAGGGGAGATAACAAAATTAAATCACTCGATAGGTTACTACATTCAATAATCGAGGGGAAATTTCTAGCTAGACGCGATCACTCTCAGTCGTGAGAGCTGTGTTTCATGGTCAATCTAGTGAAGGCTATTATTAGGGGCAGATAATAAAGTTTTTAACTAAGGCGGGGCAATAAGATTACGAACTTCCTGTCGTCTGTAAAATGTCGACACGGACGGCTGCTATCACGGGGTGGATAATCGTCTTTCAGATATCGCAATCTACAGATGGTGTTTTAAAGCAAATAGTTTTTAGTCGTGCTGACTTAATAAATGACGAATCGCTAAAAAAAAGAAGAAGAAAAAAAAGTAAAAACCGCTATAGCAACATTGAAATATGTAAAGGATCCCATGAGCCACCAAAGTTTTTATTACAGAAGGCAAAATAGTTTTATTTTCTTATTTTCAGTGCATTTAAAAACGTGTAACTATAACGGGTTATTTTTTAAATTTCTTTTTTTTTCCTGCAGTCGTTTTTGTTTTTGCAAGTTCAGTGAATGTTTCATGTTTATATCGTAAGCTTTTTATATGCAAATTAAAAAAAATTGCGTTAACTCCTAGCCAAAATGTTAGTCTACACTACACAGTATAGAAAAGCTACTGGCTGTGGGGTGGATAAGATGTAGCTACTGGCTGTGGGTGGATTAGATGTAGCTACTGGCTGTGGGTGGATTAGATGTAGCTACTGGCTGTGAGTGGATTAGATGTAGCTACTGGCTGTGGGTGGATTAGATGTAGCTAGTGGCTGCGGGTGGATTAGATACTGGCTGTGGGTGGATTAGATGTAGCTACTGGCTGTGGGTGGATTAGATACTGGCTGTTGGTGGATTAGATGTAGCTAGTGGCTGTGGGTGGATTAGATACTGGCTGTGGGTGGATTAGATGTAGCTACTGGCTGTGGGTGGATTAGATGTAGCTACTGGCTGTGGGGTGGATCAGATATATCTACTGGCTGTGGGTGGATTAGATACTGGCTCTGGGTGGATTAGATACTGGCTGTAGGTGGATTAGATACTGGCTGTTGGTGGATTAGATGTAGCTACTGGCTGTGGGTGGATTAGATGTAGCTATTGGCTGTGGGTGGATTAGATGTTGCTTCTGGCTGTGGGGTGGATCAGATATATCTACTGGCTGTGGGTGGATTAGATGTAGCTAATGGCTGTGGGTGGATAAGATAAAACTACTGGCTGTGGGTGGATTAGATACTGGCTGTGGGTGGATTAGATACTGGCTGTGGGTGGATTAGATGTAGCTACTGGCTGTTGGTGGATTAGATACTGCCTGTTGGTGGATTAGATGTAGCTACTGGCTGTGGGTGGATTAGATACCGGCTGTGGGTGGATTAGATGTAGCTACTGGCTGTGGGTGGATTAGATACTGGCTGTTGGTAGATTAGATACTGGCTGTGGGTGGAATAGATGTAGCTACTTGCTGTGTGTGGATTACATGTAGCTAGTGGCTGTGGGTGGCTTAGATGTAGCTACTGGCTGTGGGTGGATTAGATGTAGCTAGTGGCTGTGGGTGGATTAGATACTGGCTGTGGATGGATTATATGTAGCTAATGGCTGTGGGTGGATGAGATACTGGCTGTGGGTGGATTAGATGTAGCTAGTGGCTGTGGGTGGATTAGATACTGGCTGTGGGTGGATTAAATGTAGCTTGTGGCTGTGGGTGGATTAGATGTAGCTAGTGGCTGTGGGTGGATTAGATACTGGCTGTGGATGGATTAGATGTAGCTAATGGCTTTGGGTGGATTAGATACTGGCTGTGGGTGGATTAGATGTAGCTAGTGGCTGTGGGTGGATTAGATACTTGCTGTGGATGGATTAGATGTAGCTAGTGGCTGTGGGTGGATTAGATGTAGCTAGTGGCTGTGGGTGGATTAGACACTGGCTGTGGATGGATTAGATGTAGCTACTGGCTGTGGGTGGATTAGATGTAGCTACTGGCTGTGGGTGGATTAGATACTGGCTGTGGGTGGATTAGATGTAGCTAGTGGCTGTGGGAGGATTAGATGTAGCTACTGGCTGTGGGTTGATTAGATGAAGCTAGTGGCTGTGGGTGGATTAGATGTAGCTACTGGCTGTGGGTGGATTAGATGTAGCTACTGGCTGTGAGTGGATTAGATGTAGCTAGTGGCTGTGGGTGGATTAGATGTAGCTACTGGCTGTGGGTGGATTAGATTTTGGCTGTGGGTGGATTAGATACTGGCTGTTGGTGGATTAGATATTGCCTGTTGGTGGATTAGATGTAGCTACTGGCTGTTGGTGGTTTAGATACCGGCTGTGGTTGGATTAGATGTAGCTACTGGCTGTGGGTGGATTAGATACTGGCTGTGGGTGGATTAGATACTGGCTGTGGGTGGATTAGATGTAGCTACTGGCTGTGGGTGGATTAGATGTAGCTACTGGCTGTGGGTGGATTAGATGTAGCTACTGGCTGTGAGTGGATTAGATGTAGCTAGTGGCTGTGGGTGGATTAGATGTAGCTAGTGGCTATGGGTGGATTAGATACTGGCTGTGGGTGGATTAGATGTAGCTAGTGGCTGTGGGTGGATTAGATGTAGCTAATGGCTGTGGGTGGATTAGATACTGGCTGTAGGTGGATTAGATACTGGCTGTGGGTGGATTAGGTTCTGGCTGTGGGTGGATTAGATGTAGCTAGTGGCTGTGGGTGGATTAGATACTGGCTGTAGGTGGATTAGATACTGGCTGTTGGTGGATTAGATGTAGCTAGTGGCTGTGGGTGGATTAGATACTGGCTGTGGGTGGATTAGATACTGGCTGTGGGTGGATTAGATGTAGCTACTGGCTGTGGGTGGATTAGATGTAGCTACTGGCTGTGGGTGGATTAGATACTGGCTGTGGGTGGATTAGATACTGGCTGTAGGTGGATTAGATACTGGCTGCAGGTGGATTAGATGTAGCTACTGGCTGTGGGTGGATTAGATGTAGCTATTGGCTGTGGGTGGATTAGATGTAGCTACTGGCTGTGGGGTGGATCAGATATATCTACTGGCTGTGGGTGGATTAGATGTAGCTAATGGCTGTGGGTGGATAAGATAAAACTACTGGCTGTGGGGTGGATAAGGCATAGCTAGTGGCTGTGGGTGGATTGGATGTAGCTAATGGCTGTGGGTGGATTAGATACTGGCTGTGGGTGGATTAGATGTAGCTACTTGCTGTGGGTGGATTAGATACTGGCTGTGGGTGGATTAGATACTGGCTGTGGGTGGATTAGATACTGGCTGTGGGTGGATTATATGTAGCTACTGGCTGTGGGTGGATTACATGTAGCTAGTGGCTGTGGGTAGATTAGATGTAGCTACTGGCTGTGGGTGGATTAGATGTAGCTAGTGGCTGTGGGTGGATTAGATACTGGCTGTGGGTGGATTAGATGTAGCTACTGGCTGTGGGTGGATTAGATGTAGCTACTGGCTGTGGGGTGGATCAGATATATCTACTGGCTGTGGGTGGATTAGATACTGGCT